TGATTTATTACATCTTGGGCATATGGTTTGAGAGTAATCCAGGAACTTATCATTGAAAATAATCCCATTTTTATTTAGTCTGAGCTGTATGAAGAATTTTTTGACATTAAATGCCAGGTTCGTGAACATATAATTATTATTCATTGGGTAGTTTAAAATTATTTTGTACCAGAATGGGTTTTTTCGTTTTTGTATATCTTCGATATCTTGCACAATAGATATTTCCATTACTCTCTGAATTAATAGTTTACTTTGTTGTTCATTATTGGTCGTATGTTCCATAAAAAGTTCCATAGAGAACCCATATTTGTTTAGAATTTTCGTTATTTGAATTATCCAATTTCTATTTAAATCTTTATTTCTCGATTTATGGTATAATATATACAGCAAGTTCGTAGTTAGGTCTCCTGCATCAATAACTTTTATTAGAAATTTAATATATCTTTTCATTAAAATGGTGTTTAGTTTATATCTATTCAATTCCAGTCTTAGAGAGCTTCCTGGAGTATTATGTTCTAGTTGAAAAATTCTATGTATAAATCTGTTTTGTACTTTTTCGAAATTGTTGAATTTACTTAAACTCCAAATTGGCGACACATAACCCAACGAATTCATAATGATAGTATTGAAGAGTTGGAAATGTATTTGTAGATTCCTCATTTTGGTCTTACAAAATAGTATGATTAAATTATTTATTAAATTGTTAGCCTTATTTATTGATCTGTTATAGTGTTTATCAAATGAAAGATTAGGAGTAAATATTACTCCCAAGAATTTGACTTCATTAACTATGTAAATAGATACTTTTATATTGTAATTTCTATTGTGAATGGTTAACATAATCTCTGGTGAGCATGAAATTGCATAATTTAAATATTAAAAATTCATACCTCTATGTTAAATAAAATTGTTTTAGAAAGCACAAATAGAAGAAAAGTTCTAACTCATCATTGTAATTTAAAAGTGAATTATTAAGAGTGATTACAAGTAAATTTTTGTATGACTGGCACTGCTTTAGTATTTTTCAATTCACTAAGTTGTTTAATAAAAATTTTTTCTTCTCCTCGTCCATTAGAAAATTTATTTGTCAAATAATCAAACTAAATTTATAAAAATTTAAATTATTTATCTTTCTAAAGCACTTCCAAAATTTATTTTTCCATTTTCTATAGAGTTACATATATTTTATGTATTAAAAATAGATATTTTTATAGATAAATTATATTTTCTTGGCCTTTGAAAAATTTAATTTTAAATTTTTCATAGTTTGATTCAAAATTTCAGAAGAAATACAAACAGAATTTGAACTTCAAAATATTACAGGTTTATGTTATTCCTCTCAAAGAATATTTTTTGAAGAAAATAAATAAATATTATTATAGAGTTTGTCTATAAAATGTAAGTTTTCTTAGATATTAAAATTTGATATTTTATATATAAATTACATAAAAATGGATCTGCATATTTATGATGTGTTTAATTATTGAATAGATTGTAGATTTGACATAACTCAGAATAATTGATTATTAATATAAAATTAATAAATTATATTAGTAATCAATTAATATAAAATTATAAAATTATTAATATATTTTTAAGAATAATAGACAGAAGATAAATATTAATAATTCATTAAATTTGTTTTAAAAATATTATTGTTATGTAATATTTTACATTTTATATGACATTAACAATTATGATTTAATATCAAATATAATAACAGTCCCAGTTTTTCATTTACTTTTTATAAATTGAAATGAAAATAAAATTAAATTTATAAACTACAAACAGTTTTTTGTTGAAATTGAGAACAACTACTTGCTGATAATAAATTATATATAATATATGTAGCAAATACAGTGCATTATGTTATTCTATACATCTATAATGTGTATCAATTGTTGTTGCTAATTTGTCAAATTATTAATGTTACAATGTAATCTATAACTACTGATTTAACGTAGGATAGAGCAGTTTAGCATTGAGTTATATGTTATTATTGTCTGTTATTACATAAAAAAAATAGATGTAATGATTTTATAACATTTGAAAAAAAATTATTGTTAAGGAATTAAGAAAAAACAATTACTATTTGCATTTGTGGCATTAGTAGATTAAATCAAAAGATTAATAAATTTAAATTATAAGATGATATATTGCATTTTTAAATATTTTTATTTTAGTAATTCAATAGATGCAAGTTCAGGCTGTTTGAGAGATCTGTTTCATAAATGCACCGAATTGAAGAGAGTGATTCTTACGACAATACGGTAAAAGCAATAACTTTAAAATGGTATTAAAATATTTTTCTTATTATAAATTTAACTAATTTCAAAGAAATTATATTTATTTACAGTACAGTGTCTGATTTTGATCTGGTAACTATTGCAAATCACTTGAAATATTTAGAGCAACTTGATCTATTAGGTGTGAGAGAAATAACTAAAGAAGGAATATTAAGGTAATAGTAACTTTTTTTTTATAAAATGTACTTCAGTTTTTACTAATATTACAAGTAATATGATAAATGTTGCATTAAGATACTGAATATATAAGATTATTCTCTTACAATAATTGTATGAATGATAAGGATCTTAAACAATAATTATTTACTAATTNGAACAAGTAGCGCTATCAGTGTATGAGACCAGAGTAGATGTTCGCGGTGCCACAGTTTATAACTTTGTTAAATTTCTTTTTATTTTAATTTGTAAGTAAAATGTTATTATTTTTATTAATCATGAATTGCAAAAACGCAACAGAAAAATAAAAAAATGACTAAAATCACAATGAAACTGAAAAAAAAAGAGATTGTTGAGAAATATGAAGGTTTCACGCATATTCGAGATTTAACTGTTGCATACCGTATTCCGAGAATGACGATACCGACGATCGTGAAAAATAAAGACATTATTAAATTTGCTAACGTTGCGAAAGGGGTTAAATCAATTTCTAAACATATATCGAAGACATTAGATCATGTTGAGAAATTGCTTTTACTTTGGATAACTGAAAAACAGTGTGCTGGCGACAGCGTATCAAANTTAATTAGTTTTTATTTATATATGTAAAATTAATTTGGCATAAATATTAAATTTAATTTGAAAATATTTTACTTTTAAAATACAAAGCGACATTCTTAATCTTCTTTTGAGACATATTTTAACAATGCCAAGTTATTTTAAAATAATTCTGTAATTACATCAGAATATAAATCTATTCAGTTGAAAATGTTTCATCATGATAATTCTCTGCCATTGAAGATAATACGGAAATTAGTATTCCGAATAAAACATTCAAAACAATTAATTTGTTCTATTAAAGATGGAATTTACAAGCTTAAGTAAAGAATTAATA